ATAAAAAAATAAGTTTAATTAAGTTTGAAAATTAACCATTCAAACCCAAATGCATTTATTTAACCAATGGGTTTTATTACCTTTAACTTTTGTTACATAAACGGATATTTGATATGATATCCTTTTAAAATCCCACTATTATTTTTAATCTTAACAATTAATAATAATACGCTAAAGAAGTATCGCTAGTAGCGCCACCACTCGCCTGTTATCATCGTAACAAAAGTAGAACTTTTAATAATCAGCTGTCAAACGCTTAGGTTACAACCGAGTGTTTTTAAGAATAAAGCCGGATAATGTTAAAAAATATCGAAAAAAAACCGTGGATCGATTTGTTGTGTTGTTGGGTGTATTTCGAGAGGAAATCCTGGGTTGAGTTTTTACCGGTTTTCCAATAAACAGTGTTAATCTTAATGAAGAAATAAATTGCATACAGTTTCTGTAAATATAAATTGTACCTATTAGCTAGAATAAATACACATTTTAGTAGTCATTAACGTGAAAAGTTTAAACATTTCAATTCAGTAAAAATCGTCAAACAAATAAGTCGTCTAAATTTAAACAGCATTTAGCATTATTAAAAGCGTTAATTAAGAATTATATGTATATATATATATTTTTTTTTTAACATTTATGGTTTGAACTTTAAAATCAAAGAGTTTATTCACTGTCATTTTAAAAATGTCCAAAAAATAAGTGCATTATATTTTTTTACATAAATAGGTATATTTTACAGTACAATTTATACTGCAGACATGATTTTGCTAGCGTATAACTGCGTTTAATTTATTTGTATTTAAACATGTTTAGTGTTTTTAAAATAACAGTAAAATTTACACCCAACATAATTTTACTATAGATCTAATTTTTATAAATTCATTTTAGAAGTTTAAATAAAAAAATCTACTAGGAGATGTGTTTTTTAAATATTGAAAAATTACATTTGCATTTATAATATTTTCACCATATTTTTATTGTACCTACAGTGTGACCCAATTGTTTGAGACTCACCCCTGTAAAATCTTTATTTATTGTGCGATTTTAACCGGATTTGTTTTAAAGTGTATATCTTGATAAACTGTATTTTTGGAGAAAAACATGCCATATTAGTACAAAATACAAGATAGAATTTATATTAACGATTTTTTTAAACAAAATCTAAGCACGGCACTGGATTCACCACCCCTTTAAACGACCCTTTACTAAATTTTATTGAAAAATTTTAAGTAGAAAAATGCACATTAATAACTAAAAAAATTTATTCTGTCAAGTTATCCATGAAAAAAATATTGAAATAAAATTAAACTTATAGTAATAGTCCCATGTTTACTCCTAACAACTGACTTAGTAGGCCTTGTATTTTGTAAAAATATGGCGTTTTTTTTGCTTAAAAAATACAGTTTATCAAGATATACACTTTAAAATAAATCCGGTTAAAATCACACAATAAATAAAGTCTTTACAAGGGTGAGTCGCAAACAAATGGGTCACAGTGTATACATACACTGTGACCCATTTGTTTGACCTCGTACATGTACGAGGTGTGTTCAGAAAATAACGGGAATTACGCGGGTTCGGAGGGTCCGGTTGTCATAAAATTTTCTTTATTATGTTGGTATACATGCCCCCGAAGTATGATAAAAACTTTAGCTGTTTTCATTGTTTACTTTGTCTGTGGCAGCCGCTAAGGTTAGACGTGTTTTATGAGCTCGGCGATTTTTCGTCCGTTAAAAGAAATGGATCAAAGAATTTGTATCCAATTTTGCTTAAAAAATGAAATAAATTCTGTGAAATGTTGTTATAAACCATCAGAGAAGTCGCTGATGATGTTGGTATATCGATTGGCTCATCCCATGAAATTTTTTCGAATGTTTTGGGTATGAAACGCGTGGCAGAAAAATTTGTTCTAAACTTGTTAAATTTTGAACAAAATTTTTGGCCAAAAACAATACTGTAATGATGCCCCAGCCTCCATATTCGCCAGACATGCCTCTGTTTGGCTTTTTCCCATTCCCAAAACTAAAGAAAACCTTAAAGGACCGTCGTTTTGCAAGCATAGATGACATTAAAAGCGCATCGCTGAAAGAACTAAAGGCTATCCCAAAGATCGAGTTTTAGAAGTGTTTCGAGTATTGGAAGAAGAGCTGGCACATGTGCATAATATCCAATGGGGACTATTTTGAAGGCGACAACATTAATGTAGACAAATAAAAAAATATTTGTTTCAAAAAAGGAAAATTCCCGATATTTTCTATAACATATATTAAGATTAAACAAATATTTTTCAGATCCTTCTTAAACCTTGTAAAAAATATTTAGTATTCGTGATTTACAAATATTTAAAATTAAAAAAAAAACTATTAAAACCTCAAATTTTGATGCTTAATTTGCGGAAAATAAAACAAACAAATATTAAAAGATGATTAGCGGAACGCGTAAATAATAAAAAATTGATGTGTGCAAAAAGCTGTGTGAATCCTGAAGGATTACGAGTTCAGTAAGGCATAGAGGCAGAAGCAGAGGCAGACGCGACAACTAATGCAATATTCACTCGCTTCATTCGAACCCATTGAGATTTATGGATCACGTTCTATTTTAAATTTCACCAATGTCCTCTTTCCTACTCATTATTTATTATTTCTGAAATATTCATTGTTTTCTATGAATTTGATTTTATTTATTTATCGCGCCGACCGAGCTTCGCGCTTCCAAAGGAATATTTTAAGGTTTACATCTCTCAATTCTCCAATCCGTCGGTCACTAAGGTAATTTGTTATCACCTCAATATTGCAGCATATAAAAGATAAAATAATATTTAAATATTAAAAATATATCTAAATATTATAATCTAATTTATATTAATTTACTTTTACATTAAATTTTATCTATACCTATAGAGGGTGGAAGAACATTTAACAGTAACCTTATTTAAAAAAATGTCTTTTTATGGAATTTTAACCAAATAATAACCAGATTTTATGATAATCAAGGTCGACATAACTTTATGTTAAGTTTACAACCAAATGTAATCTGTTAACTAATTGAATGAATGGTTTGTTATTATAACAAACATTTTGTAGATTTAATAAAAAAATCCTAAGTTAATAATTTAACCATAATTCTTGTAATTTTTAAAAAGGACCTTATTATTATAAACCTTTTTGTATACTTAGTAACAAAAGTATTTATTTGTTGAAAATTGGGAACATAAATGAAAAGAATTTTCATAAGAAATGTTGCTTTATTAATCAATTACCTAAACAAAAAAAAACACATACGAGGTGTGTTCACGAAATATCGGGAATTTTAATTTTTTGAAAAAATTGATTATTTATTCGTCTACATTAATGTTGTCGCCTTCAAAATAGTCCCCATTGGATATTATGCACATGTGCCAGCTCTTCTTCCAATACTCAAAACACTTCTAAAACTCGATCTTTGGGATAGCCTTTAGTTCTTTCAGCGATGCGCTTTTAATGTCATCTATGCTTGCAAAACGACGGCCCTTTAAGATTCTCTTTATTTTTGGGAATAGGAAAAATTCAGACAGAGGCATGTCTGGCGAATATGGAGGCTGGGGCATCATTACAGTATTGTTTTTGGACAAAAATTTTGTTCAAAATTTAACAATTTTGGAACAAATTTTGCTGCCACGCGTTTCATACCCAAAACATTCGAAAAAATTTCATGAGATGAGCCAACCGATATACAAACATCATCAGCGACTTCTCTGATGGTTTATAACCATTTATTCCACTTTTTCCATGTTTTTATCGGTTGTTAATGAGCTTGGGCGTTCAGGGCGTTCGTCATCTTCAAAGTCTTCACGGCCATCTTGGAAACTCTTATACCACTTGTAAACTCTTGTTTTACTTATAGCAGACTCACTATAGGCCTTTGTTAACATTTCACAGAATTTATTTAATTTTTTAAGCAAAATTGGATACAAATTTCTTTGATCCATTTCTTTTAACGAACGAAAATGGCCGAGCTCATAAAACACGTCTAAACTTAGCGGCTGCCTCAGACAAAGTAACAGTAAGAAAACAGCTAAAGTTTTTATCATACTTCAGGGGCATGTATACCAACATAATAAAGAAAATTTTATGACAACCGGACCCTCCGGACCCGCGAAATTTAACAATTTCCGTTATTTTCTGAACACACCTCGTATCTACATAAATAAACAAAAAAATAAAACAACATTCTGAAATTATTTAATTATCAAGATATTTGGTACAATATAATTATCAGTACTACTACAACACTTACTGATGTATTTCGTAACTTTAACCCACTTCACTGTATCCCCTAATTTTAGCTCAAAAACCAGTGATGGCATCTTTTTTCGGATACTTTGCACACTACGAAGACGTTACTAATTAGAATAAAGTAAGCAGAAACATAAGTCGCAGACGCTGAATTCAGTTGAACTTGTTGATGCGTATTGTCAGTGGGAAATGTTTTGCTTTTTTAACGAAATAATTTGTTAAACATTAACAAAATAATCTGTAACCTTTGAAATTAACAAAATGCTTAAAAAATTGCCTATTACAAAACTTTTGGTAAAATATTTTCCCTTGTAAAAATAATTGCAAACCCCTGTTTTGTAACAAAAATTATATTAAAATTTTACAAAATAAAATTAACAAATTACAAACTCATGTTAACAAATCTGATTTTTATAACAGTATGCTCTACGGGTTTTCGTTTGCCAGTTGTGTTAAAAAAAATCAAAAAAATAGTTTTGGACCAATAACTTATAATCATAATAATAGCTCGCATTATCTCTCGAATAATAATATACTATAACTGTTACTCTTTCTTTTTATTTTACTGATAGAGATATTAAAAAAAAAAAACAAGTGATACAAAGTTTACAGAGGGGACCAAGTTCACTAAGTTTTAATGTTGCAAAGTAATGTGCCTCTTAAAGTAACGAAGTGTAAAAGTAAAAGAGCAATTTAAATTTGATCACGCTAAATATTAATAAGATAATAATGAGAGAACACCTTGGCAAAGAAGCCATAAGAAAGGGAACATTTATAAAGGTAATAAGTAAAAACCTTGAAGGGATTTGAATGTTAAAAGTTGCATTACGTATAAAAGCAACCCTATACTTTGCATTACCCACCGTTGAATATAAAGCTTAAAATTTCGAAATTCGACTGTCTGCAACGCGTCGGGGGGCGCGGGAAATGAGGGGCGTCCGCGGAAGTATAAAAACAGTGGAGGGCTGCGTAAGTTAGTTCTTACAACTTATTTATAATTCATGACAGACCACTTGTAAGTGAGGCGCGTGCTCCCCTTTTCTCCCGGTCCTCTCTTTTCTCTTCTCTTCCACTTCTGTTCATTTTCCTTCGTCTCAGCTATAGCTATATTTTTTACTTTTCTTTTTTTTATTTTTACGGGCTAAACAGCGTTCATTTACAAGCGCACTTTATTATGGCAACGTAAAAAATATACACCAAAAAGTTTAGCCACTTTTTTGGAACAATATTGTATTTCAGCGTAATTAAATTTAAGTGTATAACTTGATATTTATTCCCGGCGCATTCGCCATTTTTATTTAAATAGTTTTTATAGTGTATTGTAAAACGATGAAGGAGCAACTTTTTAGATCGCATGTCCTACAAAATAAATTTTCGGGAAGGAGCCAAGAAGTATTTCTACAAATGACAAAAACAGGTTTTTAACTCTCCCGAAAATTTATTTTAAAGGACATTTTTGAAGGAAATTTAACTAATGTCCCAATATAAATTATGTCCTTCAAAATCGCATTAAATCACATATTACGATTTAAAAAGTTGTTCCTCAATGACCGTTATTGTGATACCGTCAATATAACAATCAGTTTTTTATAAAAGTAGTATATTACTTTGTTAACTTCGATCATTGAGGATGTAGATGGAAATATTCTAAATAAATCAAACTACAAATTCAAAATGGGTTTAGGAGAAATAAGTTTACTAACAAGGCAATAAAAAGTGCATTAAATTTAATTCTTAAAAGTTTAAATGAAAAACAGAATGTTGTTGGAATGTGTTTTGACCCAAGTCGTGTATTTGATACTATTAATCATAGATTATTATATATATTTTCAAGTTTATGTATACATAAACTTGAAAATATAGGAGAGAGGTGTTGCAAATAAATGGGTAGAATCACATGGTAAAAAATCGGATTATATCCAGAGTAACATTGGGAGTACCTCAACGATCGAAATTGGGGCCACTTCTATTTTTAATATTTGTAATTTATTTGAATTTAAATACAAATATAAATGAGCATAGGCATGATACAAACCGATTCAAAGTAGTAACATTTCAAATTTGATTTTATAAATTTTTGAAAATAAAAAAGAAATTGTGACTTATAGTAACATACATAGTCAAAATGAGTTAGCTTTGCCACTTTATAGGCTCTCTGTGTGTCAAACTTCTTTCATTAAGGTATATGGGAATTAAATGTTATGTCTATTGCATCTTATTGCAAATGTTCCAAGATGATAAATAAACAAGCTGCAGACTAAAGAAAGAATACCTACTATTCTAGTATAAGAGTTTTTGAATGATAATTTTTAAGATATTTTTTTTGTGTTCCTAGTGTTTTTATATATTATTTTGTAATTTTACTTGACTGGTCAAGTCATAGATTTAAAACCTGTTTTTCGACATACAATACAATGTCTGAGCTTGATCCATAAATTAATGACAAAAGTTGCTTCTTTTAAACATTGTACTGTCAAAAAATTCGATGTATATGTATATATGGGTTAGGTTACTAAAGCCCCTACGCGTCTAAGAGCATCGAAATAGACAAAAATATAATCGCGATGTAAAAATATTATATATTTTAAAACCAGAAACGTGACGTTTAAGTGAGATTTTTTCGACGTTATTAAAAAATTATAATTAATTAGATTTTAAGTTGTTCATTCCGAGTAAAAATATGTCAGGATACTTCACATAGTGTTCAAAATGAGACTGTTTATAATTTTTGTGTCAAGATATAATACAATTTCTAATGGATTTATATTTTTTCTTATAATTTTGTAAACATTTCCAAGTTGCATATTTTTTGTTTTGGTTATTTTATATCAATGGTATTTTAACAAAAGGGCGAATATGCCATTTTCCTGTTTTGAGAAAAACAACAAAAAGTCCTTTTGCCAGAATGATCCCACAGCATGAACGTATTGTTTGGTGCATAAAGCTCAAAATCGTAAATTGCAAAAATACCATCGAAATTATTTCATATAAATCAACTGATAACGCGAGAGCCCCGGTATAATTTTATCCCCATTTTAGCCCATTATCGTACATGTTTCCATGACACTAAGTGACCTTTTACATAAACATTGACAAGTTGTGGCTTAACGGCGTTTTAGTCACGGGCTGAAGTTAGCAACAGGTTTTTAGTCACGTTCTGAAGTTAGCTTTAAGTTAGTTGACAGTTGTCAAATGTCATAAAATCTTTAAAATAAAGTGCCCTTCTTTTAAAATAATACTAAATGTGAAAATTATTTTATTATCTCAATACAAAAGCATTAAATAGTTTCTTAACGCTAATATTTAAAAAGTTTATATGACATTTTAATTTCGCCAGCAGTAAACTAGATATAACTTAAAGTCGGGTTTGCACTCCACCGTGAAGTGCTAATAAAACATTTTTAAGGGATACATTTTGATTTATTATCTATGTTTAGAAAACATAAATTTGACATTTGACGGTAACACCCTATTGTTTTATAGATGGCGCTCTAAACAAATACTTAATTTAAATCATTTTTAGATTATAATAAGTCTTTGTCATAGAAAAAGTATTGTATGCAACTCATTTATAAACTTTTCTCATTAATTTAAGCACTCGTTCGCAAGCTCGCTTGTGCAATTAAAGATTTTAAAATTCTATTTCTATTCTATTTTAAAAATACAAACAAATATAAAAATTAACTAAAACCTACTACTCCTTATTTATTATACTCTACAAAAATCTAACACACATTTTTAATTTGTTTAAGGGTGATATTTTTTCCGGACTGAACGATGGACTGATAAGTAGGGCAGAGGCGCTGGCCGCCGTTGATATTAAACATCAGACCAGCGGGGGACCAGGAGGACTACCTCAACTAAAACACGACATGATGTACCACCACAGTATGGGGGCGCCACCTGTATCAAGGCCTCACCAGGTTAGAAAAAATAACATTAATACTAAATTCGTTTCAAGTTAAAACAAATGGTTTTCTATTCATGATACACTGAGAAAAAGCAATGGTTATCTTAATCAAATATATATTTGATTAAGATAGTAACTTTTACTAAATATTCTGATTAGTATAGGCACAGCCACATTTACTGTTATGTTAACCATGTTTATATTGTAACAGTTTTATTGTCACTTTAACTATATTTTTGTTGTTGCACAAAACAATAATTTATTTAGTTATAATAATCATATGCAAATACCTTATAACCCTCTATATGGTTAAATATACTATACGTATGATATGTTTAAACTTTCTGTATAGTAAAAACTACAACGACATATTGTTAATAATGTGTGACAACATTATATTGTTATTGTAACCAGATAATCTTATAATTTTAACCATCTAGTGTAGTACTAACAGTTTAGCCGTACATGATGGTTGTAATAGCCTAATCAAATATCTAACTTAACTAAATTTTTATAAGATAGTTAAAGTATCTAAGATACTTTATCTTAGATACTTTTTATATTGGACAGAAAGTATATTTAACTTAATTATTTTGGAAAAGTATCTTGTAACTTGTATTTAAAAAAGTATCTAAGTTAATCGGTAAAGTAACTAAGATACTTTAAAGTAAGTTACTTTAAGTAACTAAGATAATTTTAAAGTAACTTAGATACTTTCTTAGAGAAAATTGGGGGAATTCCAGAATGATTTAATGTAATTACCTAAAACTTGTTGAATTTTCATAAATTAATAGTTTTTATTCATACTTACAACTAAGTTACTTAAAAGAATCTTAGTTACTTTCGGATAGTGTCTTAGATACCTTCTAAAGTATCATGTAACTAAAGATACTTTCATCTCAAAGTATCTAGTTACCCGAGGTAACTAAGTTATTTTGTTTAAAGTATCTTAGAAAAGTAACTAGATATTTTTCAGAAGTAACTTTCCCAGCTCTATATCTATTGTAACCTAATAAGTTTTTACGTTGTTTTTAGTTTTTAATGATACTTTTATTTGTAGTAAAGTATTAATTAGGTAATTAAAATACCTACAACATTTTATTTTTAATACAGTGGCACCGCTGAATTTGCTTTCACGGCCTACTGTTATTTGTTTATCAAAGTCTTCAAATGGAGATACAACATTAAGCAACCATAAATAAATAAAAATGTAGTATTGTTTTATTTTTAAGCATTGTGTCACTTACGCACTAGTGCTAGAGTGAATCAAAAAGTCACTTATAAAACGGTGTAAACAAATAATAATATTATTAACAAAATTTAACAGAACATTAATTTAATATTTGGTGTGTTCGTAAAAATAAAATATAAGGCAGTAGATAACGTGTAGTGTCAACATAATTGGAACTCGGTTAAGCGGAATGATTAATCGGTTGTATAACTAGTCGTAGCGCATTGAAAGGCTGATATATTCAAAGTAAAAACAATGAGCAAAACAAAACAAACAAATACTCGAAAAACAAATGCTATTGTAGAACATTTGACAAACGGTGTTCGTGTAGTTGGCAAACATGGGACAAGTGCAGCCCCAGGCCACACAAAACATTTCCCGTGGGTGCCGTATGGAGCTCGGCCCCAACTCTGCGCCCCCCACACCCGCCGCCCGGTGGGGACGGCAATGCGTCCCTGCCGTGTTCTACACGTCAAATGACCACTTTACAGCAATGCCGAGCTCTAATGATGAAATATGGTGCTCGCAGGACCCATTGAATCATTGGAATTCTGTCCGCTTCAAAATGTATTGCCACCATAGATGCTTATCCACTAACGCGCCTTCGCCTCTCTTCTTTGCCTGTTTTCTTCTCTTTACACTTTTTTTTAAGACAAAGAAAAAACCTAAACCTTCTTTATTGCCTTTTATTTTGGAAAAAAGGCACGTAAAATTCATAAAATATTAAAAAAAAACAGTTTTATGATTGAAGACGGACAGAAAGCAAAATACAACAATAAGATCAAATATTCCTGTAATTTTTTTTACTAGAAAACAAACCCTAAAATGGTTTTAATAATTATTAATAAATAAACTGCATTTTATAAAAATTATATTTAGTCACGAATTTAATTAGACAAAAGTTTATAAACGAGTTCCATACTTTACTTTTTCTACAAAAAATACTTATTATCTAAAAATGATTCAAATTAAATTATTGTATATATGTCGCTCTATAGAGCGATAGATAAAACAATATTGGGAATTGGTATTACGGGCGTGCTGGTGAAAATGTCAAATTTTTATGTGTTAATCGAAATGTATCCCTTGATAATAGACTAACAATAGTTTTTCACAGTGAAAGTAAAGAAAATATTTTATGGGCACTCCACGGTGGAGTCTCCACCCGAAAATAAGTTTATACTAGTTTAACTAGTACTTTCGGCGAAATTAAATGGTTAGTACTAACTAAAATATATCTTTTTAACATATATACAAAAATATAATTTAAAATAGTACCTATTAATAAAAATTTACATAATTGTTGTCAATAAACTTGAACACTTGAAATTAAAAAATACATTCATCTATGACAAGATTATAATTCTATTGATAATATCAATATCAATTACTCAAAGCCATGTTCTGTAAACTGACAGCACATAAGACCAGGGTTGCCAGACTTTCTTTTTGACGAGTGGCGATGAAGTCGCCTAAAGTCGCCGCTATTAATTAAAACAATAAAACAATTTAGAAAAATTACAAATTTCAAAATTAAAAATAAAATAGTCTCGAGTCGGGTAGACTCTTACTGACCAGCTACAAGTATTTTTATTGATAATTCCCTAATATTCACATTCACATTTTACAAAAGATTCCCTTTTTCCCTTTCAACTACAAAATTCCCAAAAAAAGGAAAAAAAATCCGTTCAGCCCGTGACTAAAAATCTGTTGCTAACTTCAGCCCCTGACTAAAAGGCCGTAAAGCCACAACTTGTCAATGTGTATTTAAAAGGTCACTTAGTGCTATGGAATCATGTACGATAATGGGCGTTTTAAAGGCTGGGAGTAGAAAAAAACACAAAAACACAAACACAAAACTGTATAAATAAGTAATAGTTAAAATAATATTAACTTTTTTATAAACAGAAATGAATTTAACTTTAACCTAGTTTTTAGTGTTAATTGACTAAAAAAGTAGCTGCCCAATCAAAGAAGGAAACATAAAACCAGCTAAAATCCCATAAATATTTTTACGGAGTACATTACTTCATATATCCGGGTGGTTTATCCGGCCTGTTAAACAAAATTCATAAAATTAAATCGGTCATTACCAACCCCAATAGAGAAGTGGAGGCTGGTTAAAAAGGCAATTTTCAGTTTCGAACATATCTGGCACATATGCACATGTGTGTTTTTGTGTTTGCGACGATAAGAGGGCGAAAACTGTAACCACCCCTATCATTCCGCTTTACGCTCCAAATGTTAATACGACGTTTTATTGCTTTTTGTCATAATCCAAAATTTCATGGTGTAATTTACCACCCCTTCGAGATTACGATCCAAATAAATAATTTTTCATGATTGTTCTTTTATTCGGGAGAAAGTACACAAACACAACATGTTCGGCTTAAGGGTAATTAATTTCGTGTACCAGAAATATAAACGCAAGGGTTTTTAATATCCGCGGTAAATAAATATTATTTATCTCCCTTTATTTTGTTATGTTACAATTTATCATAACTATAACTATGTTTTTAAGTATTCTAAAACAAAAACAAAATATGTCAGGGATTTGTAACGCGTTTCTGTTAAGGGTATCCATCTTCAAGTAAGGAATATGTTCAAAAGTTGTACTTTTCCTGTTTAAATTCTTTTTTAAATTTTCCTATATATTTTTGAGAAATCGTTCAAATTAATGATCGAAACGATAAATCAAATTTTTACCTATACCAAACTAAATATATATAGGTATATTTCAGCTCACGATTTCTCGAAAACTCATCGAAGGAAGATTTAAAAAGGATTAAATAGGGAAACAGTAGATAGCCTGGGAAAAAATCCTTGTTATATTATAATATAATATAACCTTAAATATTAAAACTGTATTTTTTCTTTCTTAGGTTAAAATTACTCGAAAACCTGATGTGAGCAATGGCAATTCTGACTTCAAAAATTATGTAAAAGCAAAAATGTGTCCTAAATTGATATGGGTTAACGAAAGAATAGTATATTATGTATCAAGTTTTATAAACACAATTTTAGTTACGAGTTTAATTAAGCACGAGCGAAGCTTGCGAGCGAGTGTTTAATAAAAACGAGTGTCTAGAGAAGTTTATAAACGAGTTGCATACTATACTTTATCTACGACGAACACAAAACAGAATTTAAAGCCAATTTTATTTGTTAAAATTTTGACATCTGTCAACTGTCACCCGAATTTAACCTCACTTTTTCCCAATTTATAATAAAGCTAACTTCAGCCCGTGGCGTAAAATGTCGAAAAGCCACAGTTGTTAACTTCAGCCCGTCAATAAAACGCCATAAAGTCACAGCTCGTCAATGTAGGAGTAGATAAAATAAATTATTTACATTATTTTTATTTTTAATAGGTACCATGTAACTATTTTATAAGAGACTTAGCATAATCATTCACTAAAACGAAAAAATAATAAATGTAATGAATTGTTTTAAAACAAAATACCATTCAATTTGCTTTAAATAATAAAAGGCTTAGCATTCATATTTTCACGCAATTAGCTCTTATAATTTATACACAATTGATTGTAAAATGAATTAAAAGCTTGTAATTATTTATTAAAGAGATTAATTTATTGTTTTATGAGGTACATTATACATTACAACTATTATTATAAAAATTTCATAAATTTTATTTAATTACTATATTAATTTTAACAACAATGATTTAAAACTGTGGTATTTTATTATTTATAAAATTATTATGTAATAATAATAATAATAATACAGGGTGTTTGGATGATCGATGGACATTTATTAAGTAT